AAGCATGGTTATATATATATATATATATATATATATATGTCAAATTTTTTTTTAATATAATATATAATTTTACAATAAAGATGCAATATTTTTATGATTTTAATTTTTGGGGTTGAGAGTCTAGGTCTGTAAAAGGGTAACACAAAATCCATGCACACAAAGCATTTGTCAGCAAGGTGGCAGCAATAAATTGAAAGCATAGTAAACGTTTCCAGGAAAAGTTTTAATGTGACCTCCGTATAACAAAAATAAAAAAAGTTGAAACCGGTTAGAAATTAAAACTTTTTATTAAAATACGAATTCTCCTAGTCAGGTAATAATGCTGCATCAAAGCAATCACTCATTCAGTAAATGAAAATGTCTTGTTTTCATTGCTGAGTCGAGAAGGGTTAAAACAGATTTATTGTTGTGATTTTCCCCATAGCACTGCTGACCAAATGTTTGAGCCAATTTATTGAAACTAATTTTCCTCCTAATGACTCTTTGTTATTCTAAAATGCCAGCAGACCATGCGGCCAGCACACACAGCTGATTAACATATCTGCAGATATGCTGTTTGTGTATGTGTGTGCTTTCGGCATACATCCTGTGTGGAGCTTATGAAAAAATGAAAACATCTGTTGTATTGAGATGATCCTATTCTCATATTAGTAGTTGTTTGTATCATTTGTGTTGTTGCCCATTTAATTAAAGCAATAGCATGAACAAAATATGAAATAATATTTAAAACCGAAGGATTTCAAAGAAACTTTGAACCTTTGGGTAATCCTCTTAGCTTGCCTGGTTGGTCTGGGCTTGTTGATCTATAAAGAGAGGGGATGCGCTTCCAGCCATTGATTGGATTAGGTGAGCTTTAATCTTTTTGTTTATTATCTAATATAATACCTGGGAGAAATCAAATAGAATGTAATGATGCAAACCGCCACATACAACAAGTGGGCTTTGAGACGCAGTGAAGATGAGCTGGGCTGGATGGAGAAAAGAGCTCAACCCACACTAAAAGCTTACCAGAGTCTACCACAATTTTTCATTTTAGGGATTAAAATCCGCCTGCTAAAATTTTCTTTATTTTGTAATTTACTAGGCCATTTATCGCAGTTTGGTTTAAAATAAGTATTTTGTATTCAAAAGGTGTCCCAACTATCGTACTACCCTGTCTTTCATTGTTTTATCATGCAGACAGGAGCCACAATGTTTGGACTTTTTAGGGGAATCAGCTTTATTTACATTTGTATATGCACGTTCAAACAGGATAACAGTATTTTAATAATAATAACAACAACAATAATTTATTATTTTTTATTATTTAATAATAATTATATTATTATTATTATTATTATTATTATTATTATTATTATTATTATTATTATTATTATTATTATTATTATTATAGCAATATGTGAGAAGATTGATTTATATTTGAGGAAAAAGATTGATATTTCCTTTAGCAAATGAGAGCAGTGTTTTTTTAGCAAGGTCAGAGTAATGCTGAGTAAATTATATTAGTATGATTTCACTGGCCATGACTAGCAGTCTGTAAAAAATATATTTTTTGAAGTTTTAAACCAAAGATTATTGGAGTATATTTAACAAGAACTTTCAGTCTTTCTACTTAAACATTTAATTTTTAATTCAATGCTACTTGCTATTTCTAATTTTTTGTTAAATTTACTAGTAATTTTTCAGTGTTGACAGTCTTATACATGATCTTTTACTTTTACTTGTATTAGATGCTAACAGATGAACAGTTTGTGAAGTGAAGTGAAGTGAAACACTAATAAAGTATCTCTGTTTGTTTGTAATTTGTCTCTTTAGGGCACGGCTCTAGTATTTGCCCCTACCAGAGGAGACACACTGGCAGAATTCTGCAGACTGGCAGAAAGCGCAGGCCTGAGAGTGTGTCGCTATGACAACTACGACTCACACTTGTGGGACCTTCACCTGAAGGTGTGTACAGTATGTGTGTGTGGCTTTTATTGTGTGTGTAAATGTTTTAAAGAAAGTTGAGAATCAAAGTTTTAAGTTTGACTGCATTTGTCACCACCTTTGTCCGTGCACTAAATTTGTATTTTGAATGTTTCACTGAAGTACAGTATGCTATGTCAGCAGGAACAGGAACGGGGAGTCTGGTAAGCTTCAGCTCTAAATGGACTCTTAGAACTCAAAAGCTGTCTTTCTGAGAAACTCTAAATGAATGGGACAGGATGCAGTTCCTTTCCCCTGCCTGAAAGCACAAATACAGTACCCAGGTCAAAGTGACAGTGCAGTCCAGCTGGTTAACTGGCACCGATAGCGCAGCCACGGCTGCCATTTTTTGGTTACCAAAGAAGCTGTGAGGACCCATTATGCCCCACAGGCCTAACAGTGGTGGCCCTGCCTATGCCTGAGGAAAATGGGCCTGTCAGCGGGACTCTAGAGCTGAGTGATTGGAACTTTATTTCTGAAGTGATGGACATGGCTGGGCAGAAAAACGCTGAGGGGTCATTGTGGCTACAGAGGAAAGAGTGTTTGAATTTAGAGCCATCAGTTGAGAGCAGAAAGGGAGAGAGAGAAAGAAAAATGCAGAATTCTTCTGTCCCTTTAAAATTTCCCTTTAAAAACATGAACAGACCTAAAACAGCAACTAAAGTGGAAAGTTTTAAGCACTTACACAAAGTCCACAAAAATACGGCCCAATGTGCTGTTTTAATATGAATAATTTTTCTGTACTGATATTTTGCAGGTGTTTTACCCGCAGTTTGAATCTACTCATTGCATTGTGTTGTGTTTTAAGGTGAAAGGTAAATGTTTGTAAACAGATAATGTCCTGGTAGAAAATTACAAGTAGCCTACTTTTTGTTGTTGTTGTTTCCCTCTCCACGTACACCTTTGCTGCATAAGTCATTAGAGTAAATTCCTGTTCAGTTCCTGAAATTGAATTTTAATTTTAATTAAAGGGGCTAACAGGAGCAAACATATTTGAATTTAAGGAAATAATATTAATAAGGACTAAAATTCACAGAAATTCAATAAACATGTACCGTATTGGCCTGAATAAAAGACGACCCTGATTATAAGACAACCCCCCTTTTTCCAGATGTACCTTTTGGAAAAAGGCTTTTTAAAAACCAAATCTTGTTTTTTCTCAGTAAAACACATTTTGTCTTCAATTATTTTCATATTGCATATTTTTCCTATTTTAATTTTTGTTTTGAAAGTATGGTAAAAACTGGTAAAATGTACCAACAATCACATTTAAAAAATATACACTTTTTGATATACCATTAAAAAAAAAAAAAAAACAGGTAGCCCATCTGAATTAGGACATTTAGGCTATCCATCTAATAGTAGCCTACCAAAATCTTATTAACAGTAGAAGTTAAATCTTACTGTAGTCTTCAAATCTGGGTACTGTCTTACGTTTTAAAATCACAAAGGGAGTTTGGTCCCATCAGGCTAACGTGACAGTCACGACTCATGCAGCTTTGGCGCTACCTATTGTTGTGGGTATATTATTGACATGTCAAAGTCTAGACCCTGAATATAAGACGACTGCGTTTTTTCAGATGTATTTCCAAGAAAAAAACATCGTCTTATATTCGGGTCAATACGGTATATGCAATAAATGTAATTTTTAACTAGAACTGGAAGGTTTGTCAAGATTAACTTTGAATTATGGCTTGAAAAGTGTGGCCTGAAAGTTTTAAAGTCTTGAAGACTGTTTTATGAGCCTATTAGATTGAAAATTGAATTAAAACAAACGTCGCAGATTGTAGTGCCATATCAGGACCATTGCAGTGTCCAAAGAAATTTTGTGTGCTAAATGTCTAGTGTGACTGTGACATTTGAAATGTCACCAACTGTATAGAAATGTGTGTGCACTTAGGGCGTGTCCGAATCCACTTTTGCTAGTTTAAAGATGGGAAAATGGTCCAAAAGGGTTGTACCTGTTCTCTTAATGAGTAATGGGTGTGTTTTGGGCGTAACATGCAATAAACCAATCAGAGTCTCATCTCCCATTCCCTTTAAAAGCCAGTAACGCTTGCGCCATTGCTTCTCCAGAGTAGAAAGGAACATCTGCGGGGCACAATAATAATCTTTTACATTGTAATCCTTTCATTTTTAATATTTAGCATGTTTGTGTGCTGCTGCAAGTGTTTTACCCGCAGTTTGAATCTACTCAAAAGCTACTTACCTGCTGGTAAAATAGATCATACGTATGTACAATGGCAGAGTATGGGCTTGGCCAAATGCAGTGATTTTTTACATAGATAACACTTTTGCTAGCTTTAGTGACCTCTCAGAGAAATTTCAGTTGACACAGTCCAACCTGTTTTGTTATTTTCAAGTCCGAAATTTTATTCAGGCCCAGAGTTCAACCTTTCCTAACCTACCCCTACCTCACTATTGGATCAAATTTTACAAGCCCCTGTAACCTGTAAGATCAAATTTCTGCACTATATAATATGGTCTTTAAATAATACTTTCATTGACAAAACTAGAGGCGAGTGGAAAAAAGATATGGAATTTGAAATAACTGATGAAGTATGGGAAGATGCCCTGAATAGAGTAACAGACACACACAGACTCCCCTGTGTGTGTAATAAGCAGAGTCTATGCGCGATGTTCATCCACCCACAGGCACATATTACTAACACGCTCTTTAAATATAAATTTATAATTAAATAAATGTATAATTTATATAAAAAATATTGCGCCAGGTTTAGACCAGGTTTCAGATGGTCAATGGCACAGTCTATTTCAGTTGCCTCAAAATAGCAACGCGCCAACAATGCACCTGAACACACCTCGTTTTCAGACCAGCACGACTATGTGCGCACAAATGGGCGCAAATGCATTTGCTATTTAATCAACGTGGTGCAGGACATGAAATTGATAACTGCGTCGGGCTGAAACGAACAAAAAACACTTGTCGCGCCTGGCGCCGCATTGCGCCATATGTATGATTGGGCCCTTGTACTTTATATTTTATTTATCTATTTTATATTTAATAATTTACATGCATTCGCGACAGTATCACAACGCATGCATGTGCATTCCTCTGCTTGTAAACAAGGCACAGTGCATCCGGGTTCTACGTCAGACACCGGCTCCTGCGTCAGTAGCATCACACACATGCTTCATGGTACTGTCGTGAACACGTGGCGAAGACTGACACGAAAGAGAAGAAATTGTTAAATAAAGTCGTTATTTTTGTTTTCTTTGCACACAAAAAATTATTCTTTTAGCTTCATAAAATTAAGGTTGAACCACAGATGTCTTTTAACAATGTCCTTACTACCTTTCTGGGCCTTGAACGTGGTAGTTGCGTTGCTGTCTATGCAGGGTCAGAAAGCTCTTGGATATCATCAAAAATATCTTAATTTGTGTTCCGAAGATGAACAAAGGTCTTACCGGTTTGGAACGACATGAGGGTGAATAATGACAGAATTTTCATTTTTGGGTGAACTATTCCTTTAAATCCAGTTTCTGTATTTACAATTCAAATTTTAATTCAACATCCTGCAGAGTGTTGTTGATTCAATTCCAGTTCACACTCATGAATTGAAGGATATCCCATTCTTAAAATTCTGAGTTTTTCCCAACCCTGATAAACTACTCAAAAGAGTTCAAGCTAGAATTTTTTTTGTATTTTATCAACTCTTCCAAAGGCATGCTTCAACAAAAAGCTTCATACAAATATAAAATTGTACATTCCCCACCCCCACCACCTTCCGCCACAATAAATTAAAACATACATTCAAATAAATTAATAATACAAAAAAAAAAAATAAGAAGAAGAAGAAGAAGAAGAATCCTAATCGCACCTTCGGTGCTTGGCCCCTAATAATAATAGTGTTAATGCCATACAAAATAGGCTATAGGATACACTCTAACATTATGTACCAAAATGAACACAACAATGTCAAAGTTAAATAAATGAACAAATAAACATGAGTAGTCCAAAAAAAAACCCCACCTCTGATACATTTGTGGTCTATATATAATGTTATGAATATATAAACAAACATAACACAGGTAAATATGCTTCAACCAAATGGTTTTTCTAATTATTTTAGTTATATTAGTTAGAGGGGAGTGTCTTCATCTTTTCAAAATATGTAATTATGGGTTTCCAAATTCTATAGAAGTTTTGAACAGATCATTTTTTTTAGATATTTTATTTTCCCTAATTTTAAATATGATATCAGGTCACAAATCCACATTGAAGCTGTAGGCAGATTCTTTAACATCCATTCCAACAATATTCTTCTCCTTGCTAATAAAGAGGCAATGTAATATGTACATGGTACATCACTTATTTGTATGTATCAAATAGGCACCTGGAGGTTGCTCCACCAGAGTTGCATTGTACATGTACAATGACAATAAAGTTCTTACTAAAAGCAATAACATTTTTTCACATTGTTAGTCAAAGGTACTTCATTTTCTGGTACTCCAAAAATAGCAATTTCAACACAGGGCATTATATTCAAGATAAAAGCATCGTTTCGCATTTTGAATATAAACGTCCAGTAGTTTCTCAGCACTTGGAAGGACCAAAACATATGAATAAAGTCAACCTCATCATTTTTTCATCGGTCACACCTATCATCAACATTAGGATAGATTTTAGAAAGTCTTGATTTTGTGTAATAACACGGTGAAGAATCTTACATTGAATGAGACTGAGGCGTGCACAAGTAGTTGATCCATTTACTCTATTCAGGGCATCTTCCCATACTTCATCAGTTATTTCAAATTCCATATCTTTTTTCCACTCGCCTCTAGTTTTGTCAATGAAAGTATTATTTAAACACCATATTATATAATGTAGAAGTATCATTTTCTCTGAGAGGTCACTAAAGCTAGCAAAAGTGTTATCTATGTAAAAAATCACTGCATTTGGCCAAGCCCATACTCTGCCATTGTACATACGTATGATCTATTTTACCAGCAGGAAACAG